CTGGTTTAAGTACGATTCAACAGACTCTGACTCCGGAGGCAGCCACCGTTTTAAACCAATCAATCTCCGAGGCGGCGCGTCGTAACCACGGCCAAACCACACCACTTCATGTCGCAGCAACTCTTCTCGCTTCGCCGGCGGGATTTCTCCGACGAGCTTGTATCCGATCTCATCCCAATTCTTCTCATCCTCTCCAGTGTCGAGCTTTAGAGCTCTGTTTCAGCGTCGCTCTCGAGCGTCTCCCCACCGCTACGGCGACTCCGGCGAACGATCCTCCGATCTCCAACGCTCTTATGGCGGCTTTAAAACGAGCTCAAGCCCATCAACGCCGTGGATGCCCGGAGCAGCAACAGCAACCGTTATTAGCGGTTAAAGTCGAGCTTGAGCAGCTCATTATCTCGATTTTGGATGACCCGAGTGTGAGTCGGGTCATGCGTGAGGCTAGCTTCTCTAGTCCCTCCGTTAAAGCCACGATCGAACAGTCCTTGAGTAATAACCCGACTCCGATTCCGAGCGTTTCTTTCCGACCCGGTGGAAGTCCGATGACCCGGAATACGTATCTGAATCCACGGCTGCAACAGTACTCGTCGGAGCAGTTAGGGCAGAGTAATAAGAACGATGAGGTGGATCGGGTCATGGATATATTGGGTCGTGGGAAGAAGAAAAACCCGGTTTTGGTTGGTGATTCGGAGCCGGGTCGGGTAATTCGTGAGATCCTTAAGAAAATCGAGGACGGTGAAGTTGGGGATTTATCGGTGAAGAACTTAAAGGTGATTCATTTCGAGGAGATCAGTTCCGATAAGGCTCTTCGAATCAAGGAATTAGACGGGTTGCTCGAGACCCGGATAAGGAATTCGGATAAGGTGATTCTCGATCTAGGTGACTTGAAATGGCTAGTGGAGCAACCGAGCTCAACTCAACCTCCGGCGAGTGTCGCGGTGGAGGTTGGGAGAACGGCGGTGACGGAGCTACGGAGACTTTTGGAGAAATTCCAAGGAAAACTCTGGTTTATCGGAACCGCGACGTGTGAGACTTTTCTAAGGTGTCAAGTTTATCATCCATCAATGGAGACTGATTGGGATCTTCAAGCTGTGTCGGTGGCGTCGAAAGCTCCGGCGTCCAGCGTTTTCCCGAGGTGGGTGTTTGTTTTTTTACGATTTGCTTAAGAAAAATCTCAGCTTTTATGAATTTTTTTTTGATATTTTGATTGATTTCTCATTAGGCTTGTGAACAATTTGGGATCGTCGGCTCAATCATTCACGCCGATGAAGAGCTTTGTTGCTACGAATATGAAATGTTGTCCACAGTGTTCGCAGAGTTACGAGCGAGAACTCTCTGAGATTGATTCAGTATCTTCAGAGGTTAAAACAGAAGTAGCTCAGCCGAAACAGTTACCACAGTGGCTGTTGAAAGCTAAACCCGTCGATCGTTTACCGGTAAGTTCCGGTTTTTGAATTTTCTCTTCCGCAATTGCAATGGCTTTTATGATATGATAAAGAGTTGTAGATCATCAGGTCTTAGATTTTATCAGTTCATAATGTTTGCGGTTCGAATCTTTTTTATTACAGCAAGGAAAGATTGAAGAAGTGCAGAAGAAATGGAATGAGGCGTGTGCGCGTCTTCATCCTAGCTTTCATGACAAGAACGATAGGATTGTTCCGATTCCTGTTCCTATACCATTGACGACAAGCTCTTACGGTCCCAATATGCTTCTTCGTCAGCCGTTGCAGTCTAAGTTTCAGCCCAATAGACACTTGAAGCCTATGAGCCCTTTGATGGTGGAACAGGCGAAGAAAAATAGTCCTCCTCCCGGGAGCCCGGTTCAGACAGATCTTGTTCTTGGACGAACAGAGGTTTGTCGATTTGAATATCTGTATACTGTGATGGAAATAACTATCGAAATCACAACCCTGACGTATTCGGTTTACTTGCTTTTGTCGTATTTTAGGATATGGAGAAAACTGAGGATGTACAAGTTAGAGACTTTCTCGGGTGCATATCGTCTGAATCAGTACAGAACAACGATAAGATCAGTGTTTTGCCAAAAGAGAATTTTGAGAACTCTTTAGACATTGATTTGTTCAAGAAGCTGTTAAAGGGAATGACCGAGAAAGTTTGGTGGCAGCATGATGCAGCCTCTGCGGTGGCTGCGACGGTTAGTCAATGCAAGCTTGGGAGTGGGAAACGACGTGGTGCTTTATCAAAGGGAGATGTGTGGTTACTGTTTTCAGGGCCGGATAGAGTTGGGAAGAGAAAAATGGTGTCGGCTCTGTCTTCTCTTGTGTATGGTACAAGCCCGACAATGATTCAACTCGGGTCGAGACAGAATGGTGGAGATGGGAATCATACTATTCGTGGTAAAACCGTGTTGGATAGGATTGCAGAAACCGTTAAGAGAAGTCCGTTCTCTGTTATCTTGCTTGAAGATATTGACGAAGCGGATATGTTGCTGCGTGGAAGCATAAAACGGGCAATGGATAGAGGCAGAATTTCTGACTCGCACGGCCGTGAGATTAGTTTAGGTAACGTGATCTTTGTTATGACTGCGAGCTGGCATTCCACAGGTACGAAAACATCTGTCCCAGACAATGAAGCGAAACTCCGGGATTTGGCGAGCGAAAGCTGGCGTTTGAGGTTGTATATGCGGGAGAAATTCGGGAAACGTCGAGCTAGCTGGCTGTGTAGCGACGAGGAGAGGCTGACGAAACCGAAGAAAGAACATGGATCGGGTTTATCTTTCGATTTGAATCAAGCCGCTGATATGGATGATGGTTCACACAATACAAGCGATCTAACAACAGATAACGAGCAAGAAGAACAAGGATTTAGCGGAAAGCTGTCGTTACAATGTGTTCCGTTTGCGTTCCATGAGCTGGTCAGCCGTGTAGATGATGCGGTAGCGTTTCGGGCAGTTGATTTCGGAGCTGTGAGACAGAAAATATCAGATACATTATCGGAGAGATTCACGAAAATCGTAGGCGAATCACTATCAATAGAAGTCGAGGACGAGGCGCTTCAAAGAATTTTGAGCGGAGTGTGGTTAGGCCAGACAGAGTTAGAGGAATGGATTGAGAGCGCGATTATTCCAGTTCTGAACCAGCTTAAAGCTCGAGTGTCGTCATCTGAGACTTACGGTGACCGCACGGTTGCTCGGCTCGAGCTAGATGAAGATTCCGGTGAACAAAGCGGCGGTGATTTACTGCCGAAAAGTATTACGTTGGCAGTTTGAATGAGTGAAAACAGAGATGAGAATTTTGTTGTTGCAATGGACAGTGGAAGGGTAGAGATGTAAATATGTCTCAACTGGTTTTGGCGGGGGAAAGGGAAACAGTTAGGGGTAAAAAACAGTAAAAAAGGTGTTTATAGTGAA